AGCCGCAGTGTTCTGAGGCCCTCAGCCTGCCTGGCACGCAGCTGGGTGGCAACTGGGTGGGCGAGCACCCATCCCATGGGAGCCACTCTCCTGGCTATGTGTCCACGAGGCCGGGTCTACCCAGCCCCCTCCACAAGCCCCCTGGTGCCCAGGGACCCAGACTTTCCATGAGGCAGGCCATCCAGCCCTGGGCTCCAGCCTGGGTGTGGGGTCAGGACCCGGGGGAGAGCCCCTGCCAGCACCAGAGCCCGGCCAGTCCCATTGGCTCTGGAGCAGAAGGGACCTGCAGGGCAGGCGATGGTGGGATCTTTTTCACTGACCCCTGTTGCTCCTCTGAAACCACCAGGAAAGTCATTGAGGCTTCACAGTCAGAGCCTGTGCTGACCACCGACCCCTGACATTCAACCCCAGGAGCTGGGCTCTTGCTGGCCCCTCCACCAGCCCCTCCTGGCCTGCCCAGCGTCTCTCCCTCTGTTTGTGGGGTTCTGGCCCTCCGGGGGCTAGGCCCAGGGTGGGGAGAGGCAGGGCCAGAGCGACACTTCCAGGTACGTCTCGTGCCCGCCCCACAGTGTTTGCTGAGACACAGTTTCTGCTCTAAAGCACCACATGTCCCCCAGGGAGGGACAGGGATGCCCACCAGGATCGGCTGGGGCAGCTGTGCTCTGGGGAGGGCAGGGGGCTCAGGACAGGCTGAGCAGAGGCAAGACCCCTCGGGGGCATGTCCAGCTGGCCCTGCTCAGGACAGTGCATGACCAGGCTGGTGGGTGAAGCCTCACGGCAGCACATCCACCCACAAGGGACGGATGGATGGGGGTGCACCCCAATGTCCACAAAACCAGGACACGGCCAGGTGAGCCCGGCAGGAGGTGGGTGAGACATTCAGCCCTCCATCCACAGGACCTGATGCAGACGAGAGGGGAAGGCAGCCTGGACAGCCTGGGGAGATGGGACATGGTGGGACACGGTGGGACACGGTGGGACCCGTCTCCACACTCGGAAGAGGCAGAGCTGCAGACCCCAGGACAGACAGGGCAGCAGGGCCACAGGGCGACTACGAAGGGCGGGGCGGCCGCACCGGGTGGACTGCAGCTGTCGTGAAGCAGGTCCTCTCGCCGTGAAGATGGAGCCGGGCCCGCTCACCCCTTCCTGACCGGACCCCACCCTGGTGCTGCCCCTCCCCCCTCCACGCCCCGTGTCTGAGCTCGTCTGTGTGTTGGCACAGCTCTCGGGTCTGTTATTTATTGCTGATCACAAAACAGCGCCTTCTCCCTCTTTACTTCTCCAGGGCGGTAAGAGAGCCATCGAGGGCCGGGGGTCACGGCCAGGAAGGCAAGGCTGCAGCGGGCGCGGCCGTGGCCTTGGCTCGTCCTGCCCATGAGGAGAGATGTGTATCCAGAAAGGGTCCATCCAGGCCCACCTGATGGGCTATCCCACTTTTTGGGCAAGCGGCTGCAGGCCCTGGGGGCCAGAGCTCACCTAATACCTGGTGGCCACTGCTTCACGCTGAAGCTGGGTGCTGGCTACACGGGGCTGTGGTTTTTCCCTCCATTTTGGTCTCCGCTTGAAATTTCCAAAAAAAAAAAAACAAGTCAATTGTTCAATAAATTCTCAAGATTGATAAATTGTATGTTGTGTAATGGTAATTCCCTATATAGTCACATTCTAACTCAGTTCATAAATCAAAATTTATGAATAAAATAAAACAAAATTTCCCCAACACTTAAACACTGGTTGCAAATTCATTAAAAACTCTTCTAAACATTTAACAAAACGACAGCCTCACGTCTACTTCTAACATCTCAGGAGAGACTCGCAGAAGCTGGTTCTCACCCGTTTCTCTCCCTCCAAGGCACGTCCTCAGTTCTGAGGTCTCACTTTGTAAAGGCTACAAACACTCTAAGGCCCTCCATCAGGAGGAGGGGTCTGTGTCTCCCACACACTAGGGCTAGGCAAAGGCGGCTCTTGGTGCCCGCCTGGCTCGCTGGCCAAGCCCTCGGTGCCCCCACGAAGAATGACTCCCCCGAGGCCGCCACGCCGAGAGCCCACCCGAAGGCACCTGATGGGCGGTGCCCACGTGCCGTCTTGTCCCGTGGAGAGAGACAAACCGCCCGGTAGGCCCTCAGCCTTCCTGACTGACGAATCACGGGCCGGCCCCTGAGTCTGGGCTGATTATTAACATCCCAGCAACAGGACCAGACCAGGGACTCAACTTCTCAACATGCACATCTTGACAAACAACAAACATACAGGCATCCCGTCATCCTGTCCTCTTCCTGCTGCTATAACAAAATACCACGGGCTGGGCAGATTATCAACCAGAGACTGCTCAGTTCTGGAGGCTGGAGGTCTAAGACCAAGGCGGATTCGGGGTCGGGCAAGGGCCCACATACTGGTTCTGGCACTAATCCCATTCTTGGGGCTCCACCCTCATGACCTAGTCATCCTCCAAAGGCCCTGCCTCCAACTACCATCATGTTGGGGGTTAGGATTCCAGCCTATGGACTGTGGAGATGTAGATGTCTGGGGCAAAAGTCTTCAGGTGCGTGTGGCTACCTGCTGCGACAGTACGTTTCTGGCACACTTTGTTATTAGGGTGTTGGTGAGGATTCTTGGCCTATTTGAACAGAACCAGTGACTGTCACCGTGATGCCCATGGCGGCCCCTGGACCCTTAGAACTGCTCCTGGCCCCTGTGAACACATCCTGGCCTGTGGCAGCTGCGAGATTCACCCCACCCCCACCCCCGTCTGCCCAGTGCCATGGAAGCAGCTCTGCTTTAAGGCAGGAGCCACACACGTCTCTGTGAAGGGCAGGCACTGAACACTGGCCCTGGGGCCCGAGGTCCGGGCGCTGTGCACAGGGCGCCGGGCTGCGACATGGAGAGTGAACCTGCCTGCCAGCTCCGAGTCTGAGCTCCCAGGGCAGGTGCTAGCCGTGCACGCAGGTGGCTCCTGAGCCCTCCTGGTGGGATGAGGGAAAGGCCAGGAGCGCCTACTCATTTTCCAGTTCAGCCACCATGAGTCTGTCCTGCTTCCTCATCTGTGGCTGTGCCTCCCACTCAGATGCTTCCCTGAGTGGATCCTTTTGGGACTGGTGGCCTCTACCACACAGTAGCTGCCTTGCCCTTCCCACCTCACTCAGCTCCGTCCAGTCATGAGCTTCCCGCCTGCCTGGATCCCGAGGGGCCTCCAGACGAGCTGGTGTGAGGGTGGCCATATCTGGGCAGGGCCAAGCAGCCCCAACACACAGGAGACCAGGGAGGGCGGGGAGGGGGCTGCACACCCGCCCCGGCCCAGGTGCACAGCCTGCTCAGCTTAACCCCAGACCAGGCTCCCCGCAAGGTGCCAGCTGGTTGAACACCGAGCCTCCAAAGAACCTCGGGTCGTCTCCTCTCTGCACACTGCTCCCAGAGCTGCTCCTGCAGAGACATGGGTGGGAAACACCTAACAGCCTTGCTTGCTGGGTGTGCAGACGCTCACGGCATGCAGCACAGAGCAGCCTGCAGGACAGCCCTCCCCAGGGAACCCCTCGGTGGCAGTGTCCAGCCCCCGGGGCCGTGTTTACAGAGCACGTGGCGGTCTGACTTCTCAGACCTCTTGAAGCTCATGGAGCCCAGGAAAAGGTGAGAATTCCCAACCTTGCTCTATCTTCTGGTCACTTGCCCGGCCCGCCGCTGACCTCTTGCTTGTCCAAGAGGGGCCTGGGCAGCGCGATGCTGGGATGACCATGGGACCCACCCACAGAGTGCCAGGCGGCTGGAAGAGGGCCAGGCAGTGGCGAGCTCAGGAGAAATGCGTGTCCCCGGACCCACTTCCTCTGGTCCTGAGCGTCTGGCAGGGCTGTCACAACCCGACTCGGCCCCATGCATGGAGATTTGGCCACAAGATGTCCTTGGGACACTGCTCACAGCATGTGGCCTTGGTGGGCAGCCCAGAGCCTAGCTCAGGGCCAGCAGCGGAGATCTTCTGGGAGCCTCTGCCTGTGCCTTCAACGGAGGTGAGGGCCAGGTACGGATGGACACTTTGTCTCCCGAGCCCTCTCCCCCTCCAGGGCTGAGTCACGGCAGGCAGCACACACAGCTCACCCCCAACGTTTGGGAGGCACCTCTGGCTTTTTGTGGTGCACTGTCCTCTGCCGGGAGGAAACGCTGCCACAGCTGTTTTCGTGAATTCAGTGATTCTGCCAAAGGATTGCTGAGCTGATGGCGCGGATGTAAGCGGGCATGGGCACCACGTCCTCAGCCGTGGCCTGGTTTTAGAGGCTGCCCCAGCCCAGCGCCCAGCACCTCAGGGTCACAGCTGCGGCGGGACCCGTGGAATGACTGGTGTGTTCACAGCTATGCTCTAGTGAGGAGGCCAAGTGGGTCCTGAGACAGAGTCCTTTGCTATTTAGCACTGGCCTCTAGTCCAGTCTCCAGGACAGACCCACGGGAGGGGATGCTGGTCTGAACGTTGGCTTTGCTAGGGGTGGGGGCACATGTGAGATGCAGGAGCCCGGCCAGGCCAGAGAAGCAGAGGTCCACCTCCCGAAAGGGGCACCCAGTGCCCTACTGCCTCCCGTGGAGAAGACAGAGGGTGGGGTCCTGAGCAGACCACAGTGCCCAGAGGACGCCCCACACGCGGGGTTCAGGTCTCCACAGCCTAAACAGAGCCGCCTGTCTTGCTGGCATTCGTGATGTGGAAACCCCTCTGGATGTGCACCACTCCCCAACATCCCAGGGGCCGCAGCGCCCCCCGAGATGTGCTGGAGGAAACACGGCAGCACCTCTGTCCAACGGGCCCACGGGGAGGCCCGTCCCTCAGATGGGATGGTGCACAGCCCCCAGTCAGGGGTGTGGGTCTGGGGGGCCCCGGCTGGATCAGCAGCACAAGTGGCAGGCAGTGTGGTGGGCACCTGGGCCTGGTCACGGTGCAGATACCTGCTGGTCCAGGTGGCCCGGGTCAGACGTCTGCTCGCTGGATCCAGAACGGTCTGCTCTGCCCACGGGGATGAGGCCAGGCTTCAGCAGCTGCCCACTGGCTCCTCTTGCCGGGGCCCAGGGTCATCTGCCCACACCCGCAGTTCTGGACCCTTGTCCACCATGAGGCCCTGCAGCCCCAGGACCCGTCCCCACTGCCGCTTCTGACCTTCGGGGAAGAGTGACCACAGAGCTCTCCAAGGATGCAGGTGGCCCTCACAGCTGCGGGGAGGCACATCTTCTGGAGCCCGAGGAGGGTGAGCTAGTCTCACATGAGGCTCCCCCAACACCCTTGGTGCCCCCCTCTCAGCACCCCACGCAGTGCTGGCATTTCAACCCCACTTGTGTCCCTCGTGGTCCCTGCTTCAACCAATCAGCCAAATCTCAGAGCCCTTCAGCCCCCGAGCTGAACCTGGAGGCCAGACTCTCCAGCAGGGCCCTGTTCCAGTGGGTTCGGCATCCCGCCACCTGGATGCACACGTGTTCTCCAGATGCCTGGGAAAGCCACACAGCCCTTCTGGAGCGCAGCCACCACAGACCCCACCCTCTCGGGCCTGCTGGGACCCAGTCTGGTTATAAGCAAAGTGTGGAGTAGGGGGTTCCTGAGTGCCCCTTAGGGCCCCCGCCTCGGGGGAGGCCATTCAGGTCCTGCAGCCAAAGGGGGGCTGACCTCAGGTAGGGTGCGAAGGGGGCTCTCCTGGCAAAGGAGCTGATGGAACGAAGGGGTTTGTGGCCCCCAGCTTGGTCGGGCTCTGCCCACAGCCCCCATCCCAATTTTCAGGGTCCCATTCCTTCCCAATCAACAGCCCAGCCTTGAGAGAAGCTTTCCTGAGGTCTGGGCTTGGCCCCACGTGGGAGTAGCCGGCGGCTGCCCTGTGTGAGCGGCTGCAACAGTGCCCTTGGTCCCCGTCTGTCTCGCTTGGGCTGCTGGGCTTTATGCCTAGAAGCCACCCTGGGACAGCCACCTGCCACTCTCAGCCTCACTCCACGAGGTGGCCCTTCTTTCCTCCTGCTGGTCCTGCTGGAGGCCTAGCCCTGTGCCCTCCCCGCCACCCCCAACGGGGGCCCTCTCCCTGCCACGCTCCCGTCAGGAGCCCGTCACTGGCTCAACCCTGTGATGCAGAAGCTCCTGGCCATCTGCGGTGTGAGGAGCCTAGGACCCGGGGCCCACACTTGGCGTCCCTGCTGGACGGACCAGCCACCCTGCCCAGCGGAGGCTCTGAGGACAGACAGCTCTGGGCTCTGACCACCCGGGGAAGCAGGGGGTCACCTGGGAGAATTCGTACCTCAAGCCTGCAGGTTTGCAAACAAGTTTATTATCAGGCACCCCCGGGTTGGCCTCTTGCCTGGGTCGCTGGTGCCCAGTGTCTGGCCTGGTTATGCTTTAAATGGCAGTCACCGTGGCACAGAAGCTGTGCTTCATGAAAGGGAGCAGGTCCCATGCAGGAAGGAGGCCCAAATGACCGGCTCTTCCCATGACCAGTGGGGCCCGTGGCCCATGGCCTCCGACCCCTTGCACCACTTTCCCGCTATCCAAGTGTCCTGACAAGGAGCCACGAGTCACGTGCACGGGTAGAGAGACCAGACACCGATGCGCTGATCCCCAGACCCTGTGGCCAGCAAGCCGTCGTCAGCAAAGGCCACACAGTGCACGGTGGCACTGTGGAAGGCCAGCACCGCCAGCGGCTTCATCGTCCGCCAGTGAAACACACGGACGCGATGGTCCCAGCCCGCGGTGGCCAGAATCCTACGGTCTGGCCGAATCTTGATGTCGGCGATCCCGGGGTTGGTGAGCACGTGAGTCCCACGCACCTGTGATCAGAGCGGCAGGGAGAACCGTTAGGTGGCTTCTTAGACCTGCCTCCACGCCTCCCCCTCTACCAGGACGCCCCCGTCAGGAACAGGGAGCCAAGCGCTCCTGCCAACTTACTGCCATCTCCTGGAGCCAGCACAGGCGACCTCTGCCCTTGGCCAGACCCTTGGGTTGAGACAGGACAGGCCTCAGTGGACTGTGGCCTGGGCCCCTCCCCAAGGAAATACTGCCCCCCAGCCTCCAGGCAGCACTGCCCACTGGACGGCAGCAAGGTCAGTGGGTCCTCTCTCGCGAAAACTCACCGCACCCAAAGCAGGAGGAGCAGAAGGAACGCAAACCCCACCTTCAGCAAAGCTGGGGGAAGGGCAGCCCTGCGTGGCATGCGAGGCGGAAGGCCACCCGGGGCTGGATGTGCAGCCATTGTGGGGCCATCTGGCAGCTCTGCCCCACGCTGACAACACACACTTGGCCATCGTCGTGATGACCCAAATGGCCACGTCCTTCCGCCCATCCTGCCTTGGCCCAGCCCTGGGCACCAGGAGTCCTTGCTGCCCCGGGGTCGCTGCTGTGCCCACAGCAGCTCTCCTTTCTCTGCGAATTCACCTCCTGTTGGGCCAGAGCAGCCTCAGGGAAAGTCATTTGTTTTTCAAAGACAATACAGGGAAAAGGAGGAAAGAAAATCAGCAAAAGATGGCAGCATTCCTCAGAAGCAACCAGACACTCACCAGGCACTTTTGCAAATCAGCAAAACAGAACTTCATGAAGCAATGATCTCCATAAAACAAGAACCAGGAGAGCAAATCCAGAGGAGGGAGCCTGATCCACAGGCACCGAAGAGAAGCAAACACTGCAGAAGCGAGGGGAATCGGAAGA